TAGAAACAGAAAAAGGGAAAGTCAGTGATATGTGGAATATGGCTTTCCTTCATTTCTCTAAATAATGTTTTGAGTGTAGAGGTTTCATACTTGTTTCATTTGACTTACTCCTCTATAGCCTGTTTTTAAAATACTATTTATAAATAGCATTTTAAATTTGTTTTCACTTGGTATTTCTTTGCTGTCTGGCTTTCAAGACTTTCTGAGGAGAGGTAGTGGACAGACTACACTTTACCACATCCACACAGCAGTAACTGGGCACCTTCATTGACTTGAGCAACACAGGGCTGCAACGTCTTAAGATTTACTTAGATCTCAAGGTCTCTGGGTTGACTCCCTTGATCAACCATCCAAATCAATACTAATGGTAATGAAGGATTATCTATTTGGCTAACGGGGTTTTCCTTTCCTAACCCACGGAGGAAAAAAAAAAAATGGACTAAGTGACTACAGAGATGCCTTCAAGTGATAATCAGTCTTACAAGTAACACCTACCTGAGAAATCTCAAAGGACTAAGCTGTCAAGTTTGAGATAATTTTAAGATAGTTAAGAGAGCTACTGAAACATCCTACTTCGCAAGCTCCACATTAGGACTTCCCTGATACTCCAGTGGTTAGGAATCCACCTGCCAAAGCAGAGGACACAGGTTCAACCCTTGGTCTGGGAAGATCTCACACGCTGCAGGGTAACTAGGCCTGTGTACCACAACCACTGAGCCCATGCTCTGCACCAGGAGAGACCACTGCAATAAGAAGTCCACACACTGCAACCAGACAGCAGCCCCGACTCGCTGCAACTAGTGAAAGCCCTCACAGTAATGAAGACCCAGCACAGCCAAAAATAAAGAAATACAATTTTAAAAAATAGAGTCTGTAAAAAAAAGAAAAAGCTCTAAGACACATAAAAATTATAAATGTAAATATTCTCTGACCTTCTAAGAACTTTAGAGATAAATTTTCACACTATGAAACCCCTTATGTATAAGGATATTTACCGATGCATTTTTGTAACAAAAAAAAAGTACAGGTATTAAGTACATACATACATACACAATGTAACAGAGTAGGAACAACACACATATTAATAGGAGACTAATTCAATAAATATGGTAGCACATACAATGAAATATTATAAGGCTACAAAAATCAATGACAAGACTTTGTGTTGGTTTGGGACGATCTCCAGTATATTTAGATGATAAAAGAACACTGTAGGATAATTTGTGGAGTGTACGACCATTTGTGTAAAAGATGGGGGGAAATAAGAAAATATATTCTTTTCTTTTTTTTTAAGAAAACATATTCTTATCTGTTGGCATATACTTAAGAAAACCCTAGAAAGATGGACCAAAGATTATTAACACTGATATTTATGTTGGAGGTGGGACAGAGAGGGAGGGAGGCTTCTCACTGAACATTGTTGCTGCTGCTGCTTCAGTCCGACTCTGTGCAACCCCATGGACTGCAGCCCACCAGGCTCCCCCATCCATGGGATTCTCCACGCAAGAGTACCGGAGTGGGGTGCCATCGCCTTCTCTGCTGAACACTAAGTGCTTTTAAAACATTTCAGCTACGTGAATATATGACTTAAGCAAGATACACCCTCCTTCCTCTCCTATGGCCATCTGGAGTCTGGGAGCTTTTTTAAAAAATTATTTTTAAATGGAGGACAACTGCTTTACAATACTGTGTTGGTTTCTGCCGTATGTCAACATGAATCAGTCATAGGCACACGTATGTCTCCTCCCTGTTGAACCTCTCCTCCCACTCCCATCTGTCTGGGAACTTTCTACAAGCATTCTCAACCATGAGAAGAGTCGGTCTGAAGATAAAGACACAACAAAGACAGCAGAGTCTGGATCACCACTGGCTGTAAAATTAACCACCTCCCTCAATTCTCTAAGTTGGAACTTGTTATACGGAGCTACTTTTCCTCATGTAAGCGGTTTTGAATAGAATCATCGGTTCCTCGTGGCTGAGGGCATCGTAACTGGGGTATCAGTGCCTGAGCGAAACCAGGCACCCCTTTGTCTGAAGGTAAGAACAACAAGCGCCATCTTCTCCAGACCTTGAAGGTGCTTTACTTGGGCCTCCTCCTCCAGCTGCTGCAGACACAACCTCCTCTTCTAGCTTCGTTGTACCTGCCCATTTGAGCTTAATTTCTCTGTCCTGTGTGTGTTACCCCTGAGAGAACCCTTTTAGAACAAGTATGACTGTACAAAAGGCGAACACGCCCCACCATGGTCACCTCTCAGCCCGCCTCACGTGCCTTTATTAACTTCTGATTCTAATCTCTGCTAATTAAGTAGGCAGACCATGTCCCAAAGTTATTTCTCTCTTCAGCAAACCGCCCAAGATAATAGTGAGGTAGAGACAAGCAATGTGTTGCCGCAAGTCCCATTTCATTTTCTTGTGTCTAGACAAGACTACATTTCCCATCCTCCCTTGCAGGCAGATCGGACCCACGTGACTGGTTTCAGCCAATGGGATGCTGCATGTGACATGTAGGGGACAGCATATAGGAGGGGTGTGAGAGCTCTATACCTTCTCTCTTCTCTCCCAGTGAACATGGCGGTCTTCTGTGAAAACAGCACAGCTGTAAGATGGGAAAACCTGCACCACCATTTGAGGGGAGCTGTCCCAGAGGAACACCAGATTTTATGAGGCAGGCAAAAAAAACTTTTTCATCTGGTAATCCTGTAAGGGTCCCAGATTTTTTTAGTTACAGAACTCTACTCTGACTCAGTCAACCTTTCAATCAACAGAAATCTGCTGAGCGCCTACTATATACCAAAATCTGCTAAGTATCTATCAAAGATACAGGAAAAACAAAGACTTTCATTAAGTGAGCAAGTATCTATTAAGCATTGTGCTAGGTTTTGGTCCCCATCCTCAAGGTATTTAAAATTTAGATGGAGAAACGAAATACACATTTGCAAAATGAATATTAAATCACGTGACTTTCCTACCTAAATCATTTCCCCACTAATACTCCCTCAAAGCACAATGTATTTTTCTTAACTTATTTTACATATCTGAATGAATGAATCTTCAATTCACGTCTGTCTCTCTCACTGAACTATAGAGCTCAAGGGCAAAAACGAGCTATTTTTTGTCGTTTGGAACTTTATGCCCCCACACCCCCTTTACCACTGCTTGGCATGTTGTAGACACTCAAAAAATTTCTATTTACCACACTTTCTCACTCTAAGTTGTTTTTCATTAAGTTACTGCAGATATTTAATATTCTCGACTGCACTTAACACCACCTTGGTTCAACTATCCTTGGGTTCACCGAAATACAGAGAAAAGCATATCTTTACTGATTTTAGCACATCCTTTACGTGTCAGATGACCTAGGAAATTAGTGTATTTCTGGGACATAAGTAAAAGAGATAAATAATTATGGCTTATCCATTGTCTCGCAGGTAATGATGCAGTTTGTTTACTCCTCGGCCCTTTCCTACTTCTGGAAGAGTAGGCTGGCCATGTGTTCATAACTTCAGGCAATAGAGAGTATAAATTAATAGTTTTTAGGAAATCTCAATACTATCAAATAGAAATCATCCTTCTTACAAATCAAGTTTTAAATTGAAAGAAAACATTCAATGATCTAAAATGGTAGAGGGGGAACACTTTTAATGGAATATTCAACGTTAATTTGTCTCCCTTGGCTGCCAATATAGTGCTATGAAATATAAATTCGACGGATCATATTTTAAGAAAAGCAGCTCCAAGAAAAAATATATGAAATTAAATGTAAAGCTTACACCCTAAGGAAATGTGAATATTCCACTATCATCTTCAATTCTTTGATTTGAGCAGTTGGTCTGCTTGTTAATATAGCACTCCTGACCCATGACTACCATCTCAACCTCTAAATAACTTCCTATTTCCTATAATCCTCCATATAGCTGGTGGTGTGAAGATTAAAGCTTAGCCAATTAGCCACCCACTACAGCCAGTTAATCACATAATCTTTGAGATGGTCAGGGAGAGTGGGGGATGCAATGATTTTTTTTCTCTCTCTCTCTTTACAAAGATTTAACTAATTGTGAGACTTAGCGACTCTCTCTAATAGAAAGGGCAGTTGGGTTTTCAATCAGAAGCTGTGTCACCGCTTTATAAAGTTAGGGCTTATCTGCTTCTAAGAGACATTGTTACACAGAGACTTCTTTAACAAGTTTCCAAATACCCTCAATTAGTCAACCACTGCTTATTTAGACCTGAGTCTCACATCAAGGCTTACTGCCTGAGAATAATGATCAGTAATCCGTAAGGTAAAAACTCAGATTCCATCACATGACAGCTACACATTCAATTATGGGATTGCTACACTTGTGTCTGTTTAAGGGAAATGCTAATCTGAACTGAAGTTTGACAATACTCTCCTCTCCTTAATAAGGCCACATATGAGGAGGGAGAGAAAAGAGGAGGAAAGGGAGGGGAAAAGGGCCCCAGGAAATGAAGGATGGGGAAGAGAAAGAGCGCAAAGGTTAGGGGTGAGAGAGGAGGAGGACACTGAGGAAACAGGAGAGGAAGATGGAAGAGTTCAGGAGGACAGAGAGGCTCACTCAGTTCTCAGGGAGTCCGGGCTGGGTCAACTCTTGCAGTGTTGCTGCCAGTTATTATGGGGCTTTGAATGCCCAATGAGCAGATTACCGCCAGTTCTCCAACAGTACATGGTTGGTGATAGTCTAGCATAAATGACAAAAGGTGCCAGAGAGAGTAGGTCCAGAACATTTTCAAGGTCTGGTGAGGCTTTCTGATGCCTGTGAGTCGTGACCTAAAGGAAAGACATGAGCCACCCATCTGCCTATCCCCCTAGTGACAAGGCAACCCATGTTGATATCAAGAAGGACAGAAGCCATCAAAAATGCTGGACGAATCCAGAGATTAGAGAAGCAACCAAAGATGTTGGAGGAGCCCAGAACTAGGAACTGACCTACAGGAGTAGTGAAGAAACCTCTGTGAGTCGCTGGAGACATCAGAGCAGGGGGACAATGAGGTTTCTCCAGGGACAGAGCTGAGAGGGCCCTGATGAGGCCTCAGAAATGACTGGACAGCCAGGAGAGCAAGGCTGAACCAGGAACCCAAACTGGTCACTTCTACAACTGAATTCAGAGCCCCAGAGGGACAGATCCAAGCAAAAGAGTTATTCAGGTATGGGAAGCTGGGGAAGGAAGTGGGGATTCAGGGGTGTTAGTCACTCAGTCGTGTCTGACTCTGCGATCCCCATGGACTGTAATCTGCCAGGCTCCTCTGTCCATGGAATTCTCCACGCAAGAATACTGGAGTGGGGTGCCATTTCCTTCTCCAGGGGATCGTCCTGACCTGGAGATTCATGGAGTAGGGAAAAAAGGCAAAAATAACACTCAGGTAGACTCGTGAGCAAACAGTGCTTTAAATAGCAAAGAAAGATTATCACAGGAGAGAAGAGGAGTGGACAAAAACAAAAAAAGAGAAGGAGGTGACAAGTGATAAAAGAAATTTTTATATACTGAGATTTAGGGAAGTCATTCTGGCCTACAGATTTTCATGGGGGAGGATAAAGATGAGTTAACTTGAATTTTAAGCTAAAACAGCCTGTTTGTGGCTGAGCTAACACCCATTGTACATCTGCTCTATTTATTAAAGAAAAGGGCATACTGACCTGAAGTAAAGAATGTCCATGTTAAAAATAAAGATGCAATGCCCCTCTTCCTGGGATACCAATGATGGTCCTCCTTTGAGGATAAGCGACTCCCTTCCCAGGTGCCAAGGCCATGCTGACTCCCTGTGTATGTTCTGGTCTTTTTTTTTTAACCTTGAAGAAATGTATCCCTGACTCTTTTAGTGTTCTTTGTTCTTGCAAGATATAAAACTGTGCCAAAAAAAAACCCCTGCATCTCTGGACAGTAACCTGGGAAGCTGGCTTGGGGGCTAATCCTCAGTTTGGCTCAAATGAAACTTTTCTACTCTTATTACTGTTTATTATCTTCATCAACAAGGGAGAGAGGAACCAAAAATCAACCATACATCCCCCCACCCCACCCCACAAAGACCTAAGGCCTAAACTGGCCCCTCAACATCATTAAATGATGGTGAAGAGAAGCAGAACCTGACACACGGAAGGCTCTCACCACACAGTCATCTCCACGACAGAGGAGGAAGATTTCCATGTCTTCTCCTCCCATCATCACCTCTCTCTACGGGGCCCTTCCTCACCCAGGAAGCTTCCTCCCTCGCCGTGATACTTTGAGTGCGTTTCTGAACCTCAAGGTAAATGTCCACGCCCGCGGACGGTACTCTCTACTCACCTTGCAAGACCTTCTCGCTCATGGGTTCTTTTTCACCAACCCTGAATCACCGCTTTCATCCTCAAACTTCTACTCCTGCATCCACCCGAGAAGGCTCGGGCACCATGATGGATCAGCCCCGCTCATTGGAGGCCTCCCCGTCCGTTTACAAACCCTGCCCAGCACCCAACTCCTCCTTCCCTGACTTGAGGCCTTAGGTCAAAGAAACAACGCTAAGATTTCCTCTAGCTTCCTGGAATTTCATCACTTCCTCTCTACAAACCTAGAATCCCAAGCTCCTGAGAAGACTGGAACGGACAAGAAGCTGCTTCATCCTCTTTGGGTCACCCTCTGGCAGTGGTTCTCCAGCCTCTGACTGCAGACCAGAGGTACCTGGGACCACCCTAGGACCACGCCCTCCATGCCCCGCCCCCCATTAAAATAAAAAACAAACCATTACCCTTGGGAAGCCATATTATTTCTAACCAGGAACAAGCTGCTGCCCCTACAATGAAAACCCCATCCCTCGTGGGCAAGGCTGGGAGAGGCAGGTTTCATCCTGATCTCATTTGTGATGGGTCCCTTAACGTGGTGAAGGGGGTTCTAGAGGCAGCCGTGGAGGCCAGTTCTAAAGACGTCACAGTTCATACTTTATTAACCTCAACCCGGAAAGCTGGACCTCCTCCTCTGTCTGAGTCTTCCGCCAAAGTCGGGTGCAGAGCAGCCGACAAACTCCATCGAGTGTGAATCACGCTCTGGCAAAGATCAGAGAAGCCAAGGGCCCCCACTCCTCTAGTCCTATAAGCCATGGACTACACAGCCTTTATGACACATTTCTACAAGTCAATTAAAAAAAAAAAAACATCATTTTCCAACACAGATAAGAACATGACGTCCAGAGTTTAAAAGGCAGCTAACACAGCAAAAGCTCAACCAGGGAATGAAGAGACATTTTCTGACTTCATCTGTATTCTATCCAAATAACCATCTTCCAAAATGGGATTCAGCTGAACGTACCTGGTTTACTCAAACCCAGAAACTTAATGAAAACCATGCTGAACAGAAAATGACAGTCAAGCACTACAAATGAACAGACAGGATGTATTTTACCAGATAAAGAAATTAAGCCCTTCAGGAAACAACTGTAATCGCTGCAAGTAAGTTTCGCCCACTGCTTAATCCCTGTAAAGGAAAGCATCATACCTGATAAGATCGGGTTCTGCACCCTCGTTCTTAAAGGAGGCCAGAAGTAGTCTCTCTCGAGTTACAAGATCATCCAAAAGGTTCTGTCTTCGGTCTCCTTCGAGCTGTGTTCTGCAGGCGACTCGTTAAGGTCCAAGAGTAGGTGAATTACCTCATTTGATCTATAACGTTATTAACCGAGCTCTCCAAGTCAGAGGGGACTGTTACAGACTTGAATCAACCCTACCCCGAAGAGGCCTGAGGCAGCGCTCTCCTGCTCTGATCTCAGCCTTCACTGACCCTTCCGGAAAAGGACCTGGACAGAACCATCGCAGAGGACTTACAAACACTGAACCAGATCCACCATGTGAGACGGTTCACTGCGAAGTACAGTTGGTGAAAATGATTTTCCTCCCAGTGGCCAACCCTGAAATGTTCTTCTCTATAGCACACTGTGGCTCAGGGAATCAAGTTCTGAGTGCTGGTCACAGTGGTCAAGGGTTTTTCCTAGACATATCTTAAGTACCTAAGATACTTTGTTAAAAAGGAAAAAAAGGAAAAAAGAGAGCTTTCTTTGTTGTCCTCTTTCTTTCATTTATTAACACCTATTAATGCACCTGCAATATATGTTGTAAAATGCTACTTTATACAGCAGATTTGCTCTTAAAAAAGCTGTTACCATCAGCTCACTAAATACTTTGCATGATCTTTAATAATTCTAAACAAAATTACAAAGAAATAACCATATTTTAACATGTTAATCTATGATCTGTGCTAGACTAGGGGTCCAAAAGCCTATTCTGTTTTGATCACTATCCATGGTCTTGACCAATTATTTCAGTGTTTTGGATCTGTTTCTTCAGATGTCACCCAGGTAATCTCTCATACCTTCTCCAACACAACTCATGGCCACGGTTTTCCCAGTTCTAGTTAAAGAGTGGGACTACTGCTTTGGATTTATGGATTTACAGATACTTCTCCTTTTGAGAGGGTTATTAAATCCTGCATTTAGGCCTCAAAAGTTTGAGAACTTGGCAGAATATAGTAGTTTTCCCTGGGTGGGAAAACCACGGCCCAGTGAATCTACTTTTGTTGATAATTTTCAATAGAAAGAGCTGGATAGCTAGCAAAAAAAGCAAATAAACCCATAAAAAAATGTTCTCTGGTAACAGATATTAGCTAGAAAAATCATAAATCCCCCCTAAACCAGTGTAACTAAGCAGTGTTACTAACTCTAGACATTTATAAAATAATAATGGATACATTCTCTCAACATTCCAGAATGCCCCGATTTCCTGAGAAAAATGACTACTATGGCTTTTCCATCTCCTACTTGACTACGGTCACTAAGAACCCATCTTGGAAACAGTGGAGCAGCAACTGTAACTAAGAAACAGTGAGCAAGTCCTTCCTCTGTACTAATAAAAGGGCCAAATATTAGCCTTCTGATCAGTGCAACATCAAAAATAAATACCAGTGTGTTTCAAATCAGTGGTAAATTGTCAATAAAGCAGAAGGGGCCCCTGGGGAGGGGAAGAGGCATGGGGAGGAGAAGGGACAGAAGCTATGACATAAATTATACAGGACAAAACAGGAATTTTAATTGTGGAAATTACTAATTATACCACAGTGCTGATTAGCCTTGTCTTCCATTCTATGCTCAACCTACTCTGGCAACCTGTGGTTTTGCTGGGATTTCAGTTATCAAACCCTCCAAGTGAGTAGAAGATCAACGATAATCCAATATTACAATTAAGCAGATTACAGATCTGACTGGCTCAGGGGTTTAAACATAAGAAATGAAATTACAGAAGTATCATTAGAAAACGCCTTTGGAGAACTTTCTAATACTCTAGAGTAAGGAAAAACTTCCTAGTCGAGAATGTCAACCCAGAGGTCATGAAGGAAACTATAAATCTGTATAAAAATTTTAACTATCTGCAAAATAAAAGTACAAGTGGCAAATTAGTAGTGGCAAATTTTAAAACAGCAAAGGATATAACAGGGCATTTGGGGGAAAAAAAACAAGAATTATGCTAATAACTGAAAAAAAATGCAGTTTTACATTAGTGAAAGAAATGCAAATTGAAACATACTGTCATTTTTGCCAACCAGATAAGAAACCGTGACAGAAGGCTCTGGAAAGGGCTGAGGAACTGAGCACTCTCAGACATCCTAGGTGGGGATGGCGATGGGGTCAACCAGTTGCCAGACTGTCTTCTGCACACCTAACAAAATTTAAAAGGCACATTCTTTTAACAGGAATTTCTCCTACAGATATAGTCACAAGACTATACAAAGATGCAGGAGCAGGGAATTCCCTAGTAGTCCAGTGGCTAGGACTCTGCGCTTTCACTGCCCAAGGTCTGGGTTCAATCCCTGGTTGGGGAACTAAGATCCCACAGGCCACCACTTAGTGCAGCCAGAAATAAAGAAAGGTGTTCACTGCAGCATTGTTTATAATAGCCAAACACCGGAAACATTCTAAGGTCTGTCAATAAGGAAATAGCACAACTCGACAATGGCATGTTTTGTAGCCACCTCCCCCACAAACAGAATAGGAAAGCCCTGTATGTATCGATGATAATGAAAATTAACATTTATGAGCACTTACTAAGTGCTACATAAATTATTTGATGTGGAACAATCTTCAAAATAAAGTGTTAAACAAAAACAAAAAGCAGCAAAGAGCTAAATGGTGAGTAGTATGCTCCCACTGCATGCATTAAAAACATATGTTGGTAAACACAGAAAATTTCTCAAAGGATATAGAAACAATTGCCTCTAAGGAAAGGGAACCGGGGACTCAGTGTGTAAGGGAGACTTCCTATCCACTGGGTATTGTTTTGGACTGTTTGACTCCATTAAATGCTATCTAACAAAAAGTTTCCGAACGAAATATGTGATATGATCCTTCTGTAGTCAAAAGCATTTTATATTTACATGTACACATATCTGTTCATGCCTAGAAAAGTCTGTGATAATAGGAACCAATCACCAACACTGTTAACTGTGGAAGAATGAGCTAGAACAGGATGGGGATGCAGAAGTGAGAAAAGAGTCACTGGCAGAAACTAAAAACAGAAAATGTATGGATAGAGGGACTTCCCTCGTGATTCCTGTGGCTGAGAATCTGCCTTGCAACGTAGGGGATTCAGGTTCGAGCCCTGGTTGGGGAATTAAGATCCCACATGCTGAAACTATTGCAGCCTGTGTGCTGAGCCCATGGATCACAACTAAGATCCAACAGACCCAAAAGATATTTTTTAAAAAAGGAAATTGACAGGTAGAGAGTACCTTTTATAGAAAAAGTAAAGGTAAGTTTTAAAATTTAGCAGACACTGAATTTAATCTATTAATTAACCAACAAAGGACATCAATTTTAAGAGCAGTAAAACTTGGTGATTATGTTTTGAAGAGGAGGAGTAACTGGAGAACAGAATCACAGACAGCTGATGCTGGGACAGGTAAATCAAATCTCTTGTTCACCCGACCGGAAAACATGGCAACAGTGGGTGAGAGCCCAGCTCCTTCTCTCCACCTCGCGTAGGGCTTCTCTACCCTGAGGCCCCCAGTACTGCTCACTTAACTTTGCCACTTCTTAGCATCCTGTTAATAACAATACTGGTAATATTAATTCAGAAAATTCCAGAGATCCCCTGTAAATCTGGAACACCTGGAAAACGAATCAAGAACACTCACTCTACCTCCTGGTTTTGGTTTTATTTTTTTATTTTTTTTCATTTATTTTCATTAGTTGGAGGCTAATTACTTTACAACATTGCAGTGGTTTTTGTCATACATTGAAATGAATTAGCCATGGATTTACATGTTTTTATTTTAATCTATTGAGAGAACAGAGCATAAGGAGATAGGGGATAGAGGGAGCTGAAGAGAATAAAAGGATGCACAGTCCTTCTGCATGGCACACTTACTATAATGTAAGTGGTTGCTAACGAGAGGTCAGAGAATCATCTAGAAGGTAATGACACTTCATGGATGTAGGCTCATGGTAGCCGGGGGGGAGCGAGTACGGGGTAAGGAAGGACAAGCAGAAAACAGGGCAGATGGTCAGAGGCCAGTGCTGGGACCCTCTCCTCCAGCAACCTGGTGAATAACCAAGGAGGAAGATGAGAGAACAGACAAGGAAACAGAAGATCTAACCGCCACAGTACTCTGTCATTGGCCAAACTGAATTTACATGTAATTATAACCAGTTCATGCAAGGTTGCAAATGAAACTAGATCCTGATTTTGCATCACTGTGCTTCAGAGTCCAGCTTCTCTGCTATAACCTGGGAAGCACTTCCAACCTAGGATGGAGAGGGGTGAAGATAGGGCTGGACCCAGGAAAAACCCAATCCCCCCCCCAACTCCAGCTCCTGGAGTTTCTCCTTATTGGTAGAAGGCATAAGAATTTAGCAAGTCTTCCGTGCAAATTAATTGCTTTGGAGAAGGATAATTACTCCCAGAGGCACAAGAAGAATTGCAGAGGCTCCCAGAGGCTAGATTTTTCTGGCTCACATAGCACTTCAACTCTTTCATTTTTATTTATTATTTGCTTTCAGGGGGAGTCCCTGGTGGCTCAGATGGTAAGGAATCTGCCTGTAACGCAGGAGACCTGAGTTCAATCCCTGGGACAGGAAGATCCTCAAAAGTTAACAAACTCTACTGAGTGTCTATTATGGACCAGCCCAGGTGCCTACCTTCCTCAAAGCACTGATCACATTTTGCAAGTAGTATTTTAATACTATCATTATCTGCATGCCTGGATGTACCCTCCTTATGTGTTATAAACTCCATAAAAGGGTACCTGTAAATTCTCCACATTAGCTGTAATTTTAACAGTGATAATATGGTAAGCAGCAGTTAATCCTCGAGGAGGGCTTACTTTATGCAAAGCACCTTCTATGCATTTAATTTAATCCTCCCAACAGTGCTATAAGCTGGATGTACTTTATCCTTTTTTCACAAATTAAGAAAACAAGGCACAATGAAGTTAAGTAACTTGCCCTCGAAGAGTTAAACACTTTTATTCAACACCAATGATTATGGGGAACTTGTCCTGTGAGATGCTTTAAATATAGCATTTTCTTCAACTTTCACAACAGCCTGCAAAGCAAGTCTGATTATTTCTACTCTGTAGATAATGAAACTGAGGTCAAGAAAGGCCACGCTGCTCTCTGGCCTTGAGGCAGCAGTGGAGCTGGTCTTCTATCTCGGTTCTGTTTGCCACCAAAGCCAGTGTTGTTCCCAGTGTTCCAACAGTGCCCAGACTTAGGGGTTTCATGGAGCAGAAGTATTTCCAAACAAACTGTGGGGGTGGGGAGGGGGGATTTATACAGACTGATTATATACTTTGCCATTTATGTGGACATTCCAAAAACCACAACAGACAAAACTCTCATCTGCTTTTACTACCATGGTGAAAAAGCAAGATGTTAACACTCGAAACCAGAGAGAACCATGTAACAGACTATAAATCAGAAAATTCCTACTGAAATAAAAATGACCTTGTCCTTAATTTTCTCACAATAGCAGACACCAGTGAAAACTGTCATGGCCAGGTGCAGTGTTTTAGAACCACTTCCCCACTACTGGGGCACTCAGAGGCTATTCTTAAAGCCTATCCAGTGAGCTCCTCCATACCTACATGTATCCATTGATCCAGGTTTGTTACATAGGGCATCTCCCCAGCCAGCTACCCGTCTACGCATCTTTCTTCCCCCCAAAAAACAAAGTGGAACAGGGTTATGTATCTATTTTTTAAAAAAGAGTATTTTTTCTATGTGGACCATTTTTTAAAGCCTTTATTGAATTTGTTACAATACTGCTTTTATTTATTTTTTTTGCTTTTATTGGCTGCAAGGCATGTGGGATCTTAGGTTTTGAACCTGCATCCCCACTATTAGAAGACAAAATCTTAACCACTGGACTGCCAGGAAAGTCCCCTTTTTATCGATTCTTACAAAATTATTTCTCCAGGACTTCTCACAAGAGACCAAAATAGCTTTTGATACTGAACTCCTTTGTAAAGTGATTTTCTAAAAATTCCTTTCAAAGTACTAAAAGTGCTGCCTTTGAAAAACCCAACAAAAAGACAAGCTTCATGTAAAACTAATTCTAAGAATAACCTTAGTGCTACCTGAAATTTCCTATGCGACCTCCTGTTGCATATAGCTTTTCTCAACTGGTGAGACCATTATAATCACCGTCTCCAAGAAGAACTGTGAATAGAAGTTAATGCTTTTCAGCAATTTTCAACTCTCTGGCTGCAGGACTTTGGATTATGAATTGCAAGCTAAACGATTCGAAAGCACGCCACTTTCATTTTAATTTCACATTTATTTCTGCCAGAGAAAAATACTTTTTCAGGAAAGAGCAGTAACATCTTATGCCTAACATCCCAGAATTTAATTGTTTGGAAGGCATTTCATAGGACTTATCTTTCTGGCAGCTCCTAGTGTTCCTTGGAAAACTTCACGAATGCAGAGAGGCATAAATTTCTTAAGTCAGGTACCAGAAACTCTCGACTGCCCAACACAGTAAGGAAATGTGGTTTCCAAATATTCACATTAAAAAAGTCACCCCACATTAATTATGCCTCAAGAAAAAGGATTAAAAAGTCACTCTCTTGGCGATTTATGGACACACATTTTTCTAAGAATTACAACATCATAAAGTATACCTAATAAACCACAGTGAAGACTGTTTAATCTTTCTGATGATTAAGAAGGGTCTTGAGGATTTGCATTATAAACAAGATTTGTCTTGGCATTACAGCAACACGCCAAGTAATAGGGGAATTCTCACTGAAGACAGGTCATGTGACGGTGGACTGTATTCTATCACTAAAGTAGAATTCAGCTTTTAAACAACTGGCTTTGGGTCCAGACAGCCCTGCATTGGAATCTTGGCTTTCCATTTCTCAGCGGAGGGGACTTAGGCAAGTTACTTAAGCTCTTAAAGATTCTTCTCCTGGGTGTGAAGAAAATTCCTCTGCTGGAATGCTGAAAGTAAAAGTTATTAATTTACATCAGTGACTTGAGGCACAAGCTGGCCTTGGCCTCAGTACCTTTTTTGTAAAGAAGGGAAAGAACCCACCCAAACAGTCTAACAATACGAGGCTACCAGGCCTGACAAGTGGCTATTAGATACATCTTAAATCTGGATGGTAACTGCCCTACAATTAACTCAGATAACCGCCATAGAATTATCTTAAATGTTTGGGAAGAGGAAGGTCAGGGAGAGGGAAGATGTGAGAAACCAGACAGTAATTAAAAAGAGGCCTTAGGAGAACAGAAGCTACCTCCTCCTTCCCTTCTAAGAAACGGTCTCCCTGAAAATTGAGAGGTTAATGAGCGCCCCCTGGTGGCTCAGACGCGGTTTGGAACGATCCCCTGGAGAAGGAAACGGCAACCCACCCTAGTATTCTTGCCTGGAGAATTCCATGGGCAGATTAGCCCGGTGGGCTGCGGTCCATGGGGTCGCTAAGAGTGGGACATGACTGAGTGACTAACACTTTTACTTTCCCATAGGGCGATTCTCTAAATTCCATCCCTAGCTTCGGTTGCTGTTCCAGCAGAAAGAGGCCCAATTATTTAAAAACAAAACAGAATCTTCAAGAAAGTTGTTATATTCCAGTTGAGTGTTTGATTTCTCCTAGGAAAGTCTAAATTATTCACATGATGGTCCTTAAATACTTTCATAATATATTTAATAACTCGGTTTGGTGTTTTTAAATGTCTGGTGCTTAATTCAACAAATTCTGAGATCACCACGAAACCAGAGGCCACAAGATTTCAAAATATGGTTAGACTGCAAGCATTTAGAAGAACAAAGTAAATTATTACTGTACCATGCTTGGTACACCTTATAATTAATAACTAGCAGATATTATTAATAGAAGAAAGTAAAATTAATTTACATCTTGCACCATAGGTTTAACATATAAATAAGATGTGCTATGTCTGGGGGTTTCCCAGGTGGTGCTAGTGGTAAAGAATCCACCTGCAATCCAGGAGACATCAGAGACACAGGTTCGATCCCTGAGTTGAAGATCCCCTGGAGGAGAGCATGGCAACCCACTTCAGTATTCTTGCCTGGAGAATTCCCATAGACAGAGGAGCCTGGCAGGCTACAGTTCATAGGGCTGCACGGATTTGGACACAACTGAAGCGACTTAGCACACACACACACATTATAAGATGAGGAATAATCAGTTACCTATTAGCAAATACAGTTATTATTAGATCAGGAAACAATATTCAGCTATGTTTCTAATATATGATTTAGGTAATACTAAAATGAGTTTGCACACCTTGATCCCATGTGCAGACTTCCAAGCACTTGGTAAAGAAAACAGCTCTGCTAACTTGAGGTCAATGTATTAAAACGTGTGGATTTTGATAAAATAAAAATTCCTTACATAATAAACTAATTGGGCAGTAACAAATAATACCAGACAGAGGGTAAAGTTACAAACTAAACATATCAGAATGCTCTAATTGTGTTAAAAATAAGGCCTCAACTATTCACTGAAATTAAACTTTTATTTGAAACCTTACTGGGTAAAAAACTGAATACTAGAAATCATGCAACTATCTAAACCAACCTCTCTGGTGACATATAAGGATGATATTTGGAGAAAAATACATTTTTACAACATCTTCTATTGTTTTATCTGTTGCTGCTGCTGCTAAGTTGCTTCAGTCGTGTCCGACTCTTAGTGACCCCATGGACTGCAGCCCACCAGGCTCCTCCACCCATGGGATTTTCCAGGCAAGAGTACTGGAGTGGGGTGCCACTGCCTTCTCTGATTGTTTTATCTAAAAAGCTACATTTTCACCATGCTTAAAATTGAGCAGTAACAACCCATTTCCTGAGATACCAAAGTCTGGGTCTTTGGTATGAACCATGGATAAAGGAAAGGGATGGTAAGAGAAGCCCAGTTTGAGGTCAGTTGTAAACTCAGATTTAAGGGATTAGTTTATGTAACAGGTCACATATATTTTCCTAAATTGATCAGATCATGAATTTCTAAAAAAATAAAAAGATTTTAATACTTGACATGGTTGGTAGGAAGTAGAGGTGATGTCACAACTGACTTCACACAGGTGCCTCCTACACCCCCACCTAAAAAACCTCCCAAACCTGGGGTACTGTCACTTCTAGAACCATAAGGTGAAGAAGTCACATCTCAATAACCTACATAACCAGGGAAGAAAAAAGTACGGTTTCTACTGGTACAGGCCTTTCAGAAAAGAAAAGGAATTGTTCAAAACTCTGGGAACTGCACTGAGTAGAATCATGGCTCAAGAGCATCACAGAAGTTCTGCTGGACTACTTTCACCGCAGACTAGACAGGTAACAACGCGGGGCTCGGTATAAACACAGCGCTAACAGAAAACATGAGCTGCCTGCATGGTCAAGGTTACACCCAACTAAGTAAGTTCTTGCTGTGCGTCTTGCTTCGCCAGCATATTCACTGTAAAACATATAACGGACCCTTAAAATAGAAATCGAGATTATAGGCAATATTTTGGAAACCAGGTCTTCCTCAAGCTGTGGAAAAAATCTGGGTGGCCCAGATTCCTTCCTTTCTTAAAATAAGACTGCTTGTCCTCCCACTCTAGGCAAGAGGTGGAAATGTTTACATGGATACATCTGATGTGTTGCCACAGCTCTTAGCAATAAGTCCTTCAAAAGGGCGATCTTTTCCTTCAGTTTCTGCAACAAAGCTCTGATTGTCACGGTAAGCTGAAAAGAAAAGAACACAGCCTAAGTATGCTAGTCCAGAGGTGTGGAATCTCCTAAAAATATCATGTAAATGCTGCTTTACAAACTGATTCCATCAGGGGAAGGCTGGAAGAGAGATCAAGCCTCCCAGTGATAACCTCAAGATTGTATGGAATCTTAATGGTTGCCTGGGCCAGCCACCCATCTAACACTTATACCCAATCCTATGACCTGACCAGGTGGTAAGTCGGTCCATCTATGAACCCTGACTTTGCTTTCACAATCAGTTGAATTCTGGCCCTTGAACATCTACCTTCTGATCCTATTTGTCTACCAGGAGCCACATAAGAAATTGCATGTACCCCATCTTTGCTCACCAGCAAAAACCCCACAGTTCCCTCACCCACACTGCAAAGAACAAGATGTCAAGTCCCATGGCCATCCTGGACAGTCTTCCCTAAACACACTGGTATCCTTACAATCCATTAAAAGTTTTATAGCAGCGTGGCCTTTCTTTACAGGGGGAATGTTAACCACATATGACTCTTTTTTCCAGGAGTATGTGAATTTTCTCCAATTTACAAACCCAGAGTCAAGTTTTGTTTGCAACTCTGTTGCCTTAAAGGATGGTGGAGAGGTGGCGAGAAAGCCTCTCAGGAATGTTAAAATATGAAAAATAAAATCAACCCTGTAAAGTAAACATAGTCAACCACGGATATAATTGGGGGGGGGGTATGTTTAGAAAGACAAGATTGTCACAAGTTTCATTTGCTACCTTGTTAAAAGGAACAATTATACAACTGCAGTGAAGTGGGGGCTCTCTCCTTAGATTAGTGGGGTCACACAAGGAAAACACAGCAGAACAGCAGAGGCTGGCCAAGGACGACATACATCAAGCAACCCTCAAAGGTGTCAGCAGCCAAGAAAAATCTAACTGTTAACTCTTCTAATACCTCTGGGAACCACGGAAAAACCACCCACAATGTCTATGGGGAAACGCCAAGGAAGGCAGATCCTTCCTCCTTCAAGAAATAAAGAGCAAAACAGACAAACAAAAGAACAATGAACACACACACACACACATCAGGTCTAAGAGTCTACAAAATTAAAGATCAAAAGCATTTAGCAGATGAAAAAGTATGTAGTCATTAAAAAGTATGAATGACATCTAAATTTGTTAACATACGAAGATACCCATCGTAATTTATTAAAAGAAAAAGAAATCAAGTCATAAAATGCAATGTCACTCACATAGAGAAAAAACAACCCAGGAACTAAAGACATCAAAACATCAAGTGTGGTTATCTCTAAGTAGCGGGATTTCTTAATATTTTATAAAACTATTATTTTCAGGAAAAAAAATTCTGTTATGAGAATTTAACAGAAGCTTTCCAAAGCACAGAAAAGGATGAAAGCCTAATTCGTATTTTAAGCTAACACAACACTGGTAATAACAAGCACTGACAGGAGATAAGAGAAAAAAATAAGCCACCTGCCAATCTCCCCTAAGGATTATAAATGTAAAAGCCTCTACAAAATATTAGCAAATTCAGAATTACATTAAAAATGACAGTATGCCATCACCAAGCAGAATTTATCTGAGTAATTTAAAAATACTTTGATGTTAGAAGATCTAATAATACAGCTAATAGTATTAATAACTAAAGTTATTAGTAGTATTAATAACTAAAGTTAGTATTAATAACTAAAGTTACTAGTAGTATTAATAAATAAAAATAGAATAAACATATGATTAATACAACACGGGGGAAATTAATTAAAAACAGGACTAAAAACAAGGAAAGAAAACTCAGAATGGGTCAGTGCTGCCTTAACTGCAATATAATTTAACTTTGGTCTAGAGTTCTAACCAATGCAATAAGACAAGTTAAAGAAGTACATAAGGGCTGAAAAGAAGAAAATGAAATTATCATTATTTGCAGGCTAAAAATAGTCTATTTGGCAAAGTTAAGAGGATCAACTGAACAATGACTAGAAAAAGGTAAAGAATTCATGGTGGTGATCAATCACAAAATGAAAAAAATCCAGGGCATTCCTAAATTCCAATAGGAAGAACTCTTCTAAAATTATTTTTAAACATCATTAACAATATCAACAAAATCTAAAACATATCTAGCACACTGCCTGGCCTATAGTAACTGCAGGAAATACTGCTGAAGGAATGAGTGAAGGGAAAGAATCAACACCGCAAAAATGTAAATGCTCCCCAATTTAATCTATAAATATACTGCACATCTATCCAAAATCCCGTGTGCAGTGCTTTTATTAGAGAGGAGGTGGTAGATGAGGCACAGCACAAAATTCTTTTTAATAAAGCTACGCAGGGCTTCCCTGGCGGCTCAGTGGTGAAGAGTCTGGCGGCCAGTGCAGGAGACACGGGTTTGATTCCTGATCCGGGCAGATCCCACACGCCGTACATGGAGCAACAAAGCCCGTGCACAATGCTGAGCCTGTGCTCTAGAGCCTGGGAGCTGCAGCTACTAGAGCGTCCTCGAGCCTGTGCTCCACAGAGAAGCCACTGAAATGAGACGCCCACCTACCAAAACTAGAGAGCAGCCCCCACTCTCCACAGCTAGAGAAAAGCCTGTGGAGCAACGGAGACCCAGCACAGCACCCCAACCCACCAAGGAAACAAAATAAGTAAGCAAAGCTATGCAAAACTGCGCTTAGAAGAGGATAAATGAAGGGAAATATAGAAAGATCAAGGGTATGTGTTACACAGGGGGCCTTAAACAATCAGATGTTAAATCTTTATTTAAAAAACTGCAAGACTATGATGCTAGCAGTTACCAATGGCTTCATCAGTGCAAAAGAACAGAAGGTCCAGAAAGAGTGCAGCTATGTAAAAATTCAGTGAATGAAATAGGAAACATTTCATACTTGGGTGGGGATTAATAATTTAGCAAATGGGGAAAAAATTATAATACCCAAAACAAATTCCAAATATTGTAAAGATTTCTGTGCTCTAAAAAAGATTAAAAAAGAAGAGGAAAGTTTAAAGAAAATTTAGGTAATTAGACAAAGTATTTCTGTTAACATAATCCCTGAGTATGAAAAGCCTTTCTATTATCTCCCTTTCTCCTATAAGAAAAGGCCATGAATAAAAACAGTGATAATTTCAAGTAAAATTTAACAAGTATGTATATTTTTAAGAAGTCATGTATAAAATCAAAATCCAAATTAATAGAAAAAGTATTTGTACCAAATGTGCCAGATCAAAGCTTAATCAAACTTTAGTTAACAAATAGGTAAGAAACACTTGGAAATTAAGAAATAATAAGCTAGGTTAAGAATATGTATAGGAATGTAACAGGCAATTCATAAAGGAAGAAATACAAACATCCACAAAATATATTAAAAGATGCTCAGTGGCATAAGTAACTTTTAAAATGTATATTAAACCACTGTATACTTAACAGAGAAAGATTTTTTTAAAGTTCATCAGAATTGGTATAGACATGTGAATCTGAGACATTTTTAAAGTGCTTAAAATTTTATACAACCTAAATCCAGAAAGCCTACATTAAGGAATTTAATCTAAGCTGGGCAATAATTCAGTCATACGGAAAACTCATTTTTATAATTCAGTTCAGTTCAGTTGCTCAGTCATGTCCGACTCTTTGCAACCCCATGGACTGCAGCATGCCAGGCTTCCCTGTCCATCACCANTCTTTAGTTCTTCTTCATCTTCTGCCATAAGGGTGGTGTCATCTGCATATCTGAGGTTATTGATATTTGATATTTCTTCTGGCAATCTTGATTCCAGATTGTGCTTCATCCAGCCCTTAGTCAAGTGGTTTATTGGGCTTCCCAGGTGGTGCTAGTGGTAAAGAACCCACCTGCCAATTCAAGAGAAGTAAGAGAGGCAGGATAGATCCCTGGGTTGGGAAGATCCCCTGGAGAAGCGCATAGCAACCCACTCCAGTATTCATGCTTGAGAATCCCATGGACAGAGGAACCTGGTGGGCTATAGTCCATAGGGTTGTACAGAGTCAGACACGACTGAAGTGAGTTAGCAGATCAGAAGATGATACTGGCTGAATGGATCAGGGATCTAAATGTAAAAAATGAAACCATGAATTTGCTAGAAGAAGTCAGGAACAAATTCCTTTATAATCTACAAGTAGCAAAAGCTATGAGTGAAAATGCAAAGGCAATTAAAAATTGATAGTCAACTTTATTTAAAAACAAAACAAAACTAAAACTTCCATATGACAGAAGCTACCATGGACAAAGTCAAGCAACAAATGATAAAGGAGAGGAAATAATTACAATATATCAGAAAGAGCTAATCTCCCTAATACATAAAGGGCTCTTAAAAATTAAAAAAAAAAAAACAATAATCCACTAGAAAAATGGGCAAAAGACAGGGAATTAATTTACAGAATATATATATATATATATATAGTGCTTAAGAATGTGAAAACATACTTCATATCATGAAAAATGCAAATTTAAAACTACACTGGAAGGTGAAGGAGATTAAGAGGTACAAACTTCCAGTTATAAAGTAAGGAAGTCAAGGGAATATAATGTACAGCATAGGGAATATAGTCAATAATATTGTAATAATTTCATATGGTAAGATGGTAACTAGACTTATCTGGTGATCACTGTAATGCACAAAAATATCAAATCCCTATGCTGCATACCTGAAACCAATATAATATTATAATTCAATTATGCCTCAATTTAAAAAATAAATAAAATTACACTAAAATTTTATCTCACTTCGGTTGGCAAAAATTCAGGAAATTGACAGCGCCCTCTGCTGGCCAACCTGGGAAGCCAAAGGTAACAACCCCTGTGGAGGGTAATTTGGCAACAGGTTAAAAAAAAAAAAAAAAANATACAAAAGAGTAACAAGGAAGAGAAATGAGAATACACACACACACACACACACCTGGATGCTTACTTCCACAAGAAGTAACTCAGGAAGAACAAACGAGAAATTAAGTTAAAAAAAAAAAGGATTACTCTAAGAAGAAGTTGAAGAAGGCATGAAAAAGGGTGGAATGGAGACAAGTCTTTAAGTATACCTTTGTATATAATACTGACTTCTGTACTATATAAATGTTTTACATATTTAAAATTTAAGGGCAGGGAAAAAAGCAAACCCTGAAAATGGACATCAATAGATACAGAGAAGAGCATAAGATACAGAAAAAAATAATCAATTCTCATATCTTTAGAACAGAATAACCTTAGTAATCTTAGTGGGATATTCTAAATTTAAAAATAACCATAAAGAGACTCAAACTACACTTAGTATATGTAGTGGCACTTGTGTAATGATTCTGAAAACTTTTTTGTATAAACTATAAGAGAGACCAGGCTTCCCATGTAGCTCAGTGGGTAAAGAATCCACCTGCAATGCAGGAAGACTCCGGTTTGATCCCTGGGTCAGGAAGATCCACTGGAGAAGGGATAGGCTACCCACTCCCGTATTCCTGGGCTTCCCTGGTGGATCAGCTGGTAAAGAGTCTGCTCAGAATGTGGGAGACCTGGGTTCAATCCCTAGGTTGGGAAGCTCCCACAGAGAAGGGAAAGGCTACCCACTCCAGTTTTTGGCCTGGAGAATTTCATGGACTGTATAGTCCATGAGGTCACAAAGAGTTGGACATGACTGAGGGACTTTCACTTGTATGAGAGACCAAATGAGCAAGAACATACAATGCTTTTGGAAACCTGGGTTCTCAGTGCAGGAAAAGGAAAACACTAATTTGGAATGGGGAAGTTACAAAGAAACCTGTGATGCTGGATTAGAATCAGAGGAATTGGCATGGACTCAGGATTTGCTGGAAAAAACCTTGCAAAATCCCACCACTGTCTTTTTTACAGCCCAAAAGCGAAGGATGATCATGTTTAAATGTAAAATGTAAAAAAAAAAAAGACTATCATCATTTTGTTGAGAATGGTTACTCAAAGAGGTAAGAACTTGCCTCTTGTTCTGCAGAGTCTGATAGATTTACCACCTGGGGGAGAGTGTACCAACTCTGGAACTAGACTATAAAACTGTTAGCAGCTTTTAAGATAAAATAGGAGAAATTAAAGAGATGCCCTGCTTCATTTGGTCTCAGTGATGAAGTTAACCATGAATGGACTGGTTGTAATGTCCATTTGACCTATGGCAACCCACTCCAATATTCTTGCCTGGAGAATTCCATGGACAGAGGAGTCTGGTGGGCCTACAGCGCATGGAGTCACAAAGAGTCAGACATGACCGAGTGACTAACACACACAGGTTGTTATACATACAGCCTCTGAAAGGGGAGGGTTTTCAGACTTCAGAGCTCAAACAAATCCTCTGAAGGGCCCAGTCTCTCCTGGCCTTACCTTGGTTGTATTTTCACCATTTCTTTCATACTGATTTCGCTGCTGAACTTTCTCGGCAATCTCTTGTGCAATTTGGCAGGTAGAATCGTAGGTGGAGAACCTGCGCCAGAGTCATAGAGAGAGAGATGCATTGAAAGTTCCTTAAAGGAAATTTCAGTGTAAAGTTGCAGTTTGTAATTCTAGTCATGACAGCGAACAGGAAGGGAAGATGATCAGAGGGGCAGTAAAGGCATACACGCGGTGAATGGTAACTCACTATGGGATGGGTTCCATTCTCAACTCTTCTTTGTAACAACTCACTCCACCCACACAAGAACGCTGGGAGCTGGGTCCCCATCCCCAGCATATACTTGAGAAAAATCAGGCAGAGGAAGGTACAGCCACTTGCCCCATTGGTACCTCCAGCTGCAAACCCCGGCTGCCTGGCCCCAGCCTGTCTGTGCTCCTAACCACTGTGCTCTCTGGCCACTGATCGAGCATCCCAATGCATTCATTCACAAAACATTCAGCAAACATTTCTGCAGGCCTAGCACAGCTCCAGGCATGGGAGGATACAGCAATGAACAATGAACTCAAGAGACCCCACAGAGACTGAGACAGAACTGTGTCTGAGTGTCTCCTGCGGAGGTACGGGTCAGCAGTGGACTGCCGCAGGGCAGAGGCTCTGGGTGCAGCAGACCGGCGTATGGCATAAGCCCTATTGGAGGAGGTCGCCATTAAATCCAACATAGAGCTGCCAGAACTTACACAGGACTAGGAAAATAGACTCTTGGAGGGTACAAACAGAACCTTATACCAGAACCTCACCAGGACCCAGGAGAACGGAGCAGTGACCCCAGAAGAGACTGACCCAGACTTGCCCAGGAGTCTCTGGCGGAGGCGTAGACCAGCCTGCTGCAGGGCTGGGGGCAGTGAGTGTGGCAGTGCTGCATGGGACCTTTTGAAGGAGGTCTCCATTATCTTCATTACCTCCACCATAGTTTGGCCCCAGGTAAATAACAGGGAGGGAACACAGCTCCACCCATCAACAGAAAATTGGATTAAAGATTTACTGAGCATGGCCCCGCCCATCAGAACAAGACCCAGTTTCCCCCTCAGTCAGTTTATCCCATCAGGAAGCTTCCATCAGCCTCTTATCCTCCATCAGATGGCAGGCAGACTGAAAACCACAATCACAGAAGCAAAACGTGGTCCACTGGAGAAGGGAATGGCAAACCACTTCAGTATTCTTGCTTTGAGAACCCATGAACAGCATGAAAAGGCAAAAAGA